ATAAAAAAGGGTGGGGGTTTGGGGGTGGAGTGTCTCCCTCTGTAGTTTCTGGCAAGCAATTTTGAAACATGTATTTGTTTATTAAGAGAAAACGCTTTTTCAGGCATACCAGTTAGAATTTCTGTCATGTGATTACAAACATTCAATGGAGTAATCACCTCTAATCTGTGTTTTTCTCTCATTGGGATTTCTTGCTACATTAAAATTAATTAGACAAACTGTGGGGCGTCAGGATTAGGGTTTAAGAAAATAAATAAATAAACTGCTGGATCCCCAACATGTAGGCTATTACAGTCCTTTGGATCACAAAGAACTGTAATACATGAACACATTTTGTTTTTAATAGCATTATAAGTAGACTATATAAATGTTAGTAATTTATTGTGCCAAAAACAAGACTATAAACTAAAACTATGCAACACGTGACATTTCACACACAAAAATGTGCTGCTCAAACATGTAAGTGTCATTTAAATGATCAGGGTTTTTTCAGAAGGATGTGTAGAGATGAGAAATACAGAAATAACCAAAACAACCAGGTTGGACACACTTTGTCACATATTTCTAGTTGTTTAGGAATAATAGGATTATAATACAGTAGTCAACATTTGAAGTGGATCAAAACCTTTCATCAAAGTTGTCCTAAAACCAAAATGCGTTCTTGTCTTAGGATAACTTTTTTGATCCACTTCAAATGTTGACTACTGTACATGGAGAGAGCGAACTAATCATTCTGGAGCCGCCGCAGGAGAATGCCATCATGCAATGCTGATTGGATGTTACTGCAAGAATGTGCCCATTACTAGACACTGCCCTAATGTCAAACAAAGCAGACAGAGAAAATATACAGTAAGTCAATTTTATGCTTTTAAAACCAGGCTGGAGTTTCATTTTATTTATACGTGTCTTACTAAAAATGCTGTTCTATCAGAATACACAACTAATGTTGAATGGCCATCAATGGAAGATGATGTTTTTCACAGGACCTGGAATCAAAGGGAAGGAAAAAAAGAGGTGCTGTTTATTTTGTCATTCCTCATCAGTGAGTGTGACAGACCTGACTGAAGAGGGCAAGATTTCATCAAAAACAGTTGTCAGGTGAGAAATGCTTGACTTCAACTGAGCTGTTTCAAGATGGCTAGTGGGACGCCATCTTATGCCACTTTAATCAAGCTGAAAAGTCTATATAAAAGCTTTTTTGACTGGGACTAGAAATGAGAGTAGAACATTCTGAAAGTTAGAGTTTTTATAGTACATCAGCTTTTATCTGAAAAGATCAAGGGAAATCTGATTCCTCAAATATGATCCCTTTAAAACAAAAGAAGAAGAATACATCACATATCTGGGAGATACAGGGAGCCTGAAAATGTGTTTAATATATATGTTGCACATTGCAAAACGGGTATTTAATACCACTGCATTGATGAGAAATGGATCAGATGGATTTAAAAAAAATGTTCATTAAATGCATTGCAAGTACAAACTGTTAATTCATCCACATCAGAATGTCACACATCTGGACCACAGAGAACACATTGCCTTTTGTATCCTGTTCTTGAGGAAGCCTGCAGGTCCACTCATGCAATCTGCTACTTCATTTGTCTGCAGCATCCCCTCTTCCATCCCATACATATGCACACATACTCTCACACCCAAATCCCCCCTTCTCTTTTTTTTCCCCACTGGCTCTTAATTGGCCTTCTGGCACAACTGAGATGAAACATACCCACAGGGAATCCTGATGGAGTTCTGGGAGTTGCTCTTTACGGTTTGTTACATTTTCTTCAACTTCTTATAAAAGATGATGCAATAAGGAGTGATTTATAGAAAGAAAAAGTGCGCCTTGCAACTTAGAGTAAGTTGCCAGTATATATATATATATATATATATATATATATATATATATCTCATCAGTCCACAGAATATTTGCCCAAAAGTCTTGGGGATAAACAAGATTTTTTTGGCAAATGTGAGACAAGCCTTTGTGTTCTTTTTGGTCAGCAGTGGCTTTTGCCTTGGAACTCTCCCATGGATGCCGTTTTTGCCCAGTCTCTTTCTTATTGTTGAATCATGAACACTGACCTTAATTGAGGCAAGTGAGGCCTGCAGTTCTTTAGATGTTGTTCTGGGTTATGATTAAAATTACTCTAAGAGTCGTCGTTGCGCTCTTGGAGTAATTTTGGTAGGCCGGCCACTCCTGGGAAGGTTCACCACTGTTCCAAGTTTTCTCCATTTGTGGATAATGGCTCTGACTGTGGTTCGCTGGAGTCCCAAAGCCTTAGAAATGGCTTCATAACCCTTTCCAGACTGATACATGTCAACTATTTTGTTTCTCATCTGTTCTTGAATTTCTTTAGATCACGGCATGATGTGTTGCTCTTTAAGCATGCTTCTCTTTGTCAGACAGGTTCTATTAAAGTGATTTCTTGATTCAACAGTTCTGGCAGTAATCAGGCCTGCGTGTGGCTAATGAAATTTAACTCCGCTTTCTAAAATGATGTGGTTAATCACAGTTCTTTCATGATTTAAGAGGAGGGGCAATTAATTTTTCACGTAGGGCCAGGTAGGTTTGGACAGCTTTTTTCCCTTAATAAATGAAATTATCATTTAAAAACTGCATTTTGTATTTACTTGCATTATCTTTGCATAATATTAAAATTGGTTTGATTATCTGAATCTTTTACGTGTGACAAATATGCAAAAAATAAACAAAACAGGAAGGGGGCAAAAACCTTTTCACGGCACTGTATGTATAAGAGACAGTGTTGCTCAAAACCATTGCATTTACAGTCTAGCAAGGGCCTTTGTTATCAACCCTTGACCAAATAGCAAGTACTCTACTGTGCAGAGAACAGCCAGGAAAGGGCTATTTATCAGTGTCAGGAAGTGTCCTTTATCGCACACTCTAACCAGTCCCTTCCTGAGCCCTAGGTGTTAACACAGCTCTTACACTATTTTTGGGGCTCTTTGTCCTGCATGGTTTTAGTCTGGATGTATAAAAGTGGCACCGCTGAGCACAAGTGTATTTACACAAGTATATACTTTGAGGCTAAAAAAATGGTTGTTTTCAAGCTACAATAAACTTGCCCCATGCTGTGATTCAAAATACTGATGCTCCAAACAGGATTAGTACATGCTCAAATGCTTGCTTCTCCGAAATCAATACCGTCAAAAGCCATTAGGGAGGAGTAATTGTTCATCATGTCTAAATCACAAATGTATTCAGTCAACCACTCACTCAAAGAGGCATGTGTACACACATACAGTCATAATGGGCATTGGCGCATAGCGGCATCAGCACAAATTGTCAGTATCAGAAACCCACCCACTCCAGGCTAGATTAATTATTTAGACTAGTGAGAGATGCAAGAAATGCACAGAGGTGTTTCCCTATATCCAGTAGTCTAATTGCATTGCACACGCACACGCAATCATCTCACTAAATTAGCTGTTTTCCATTTCATACGGACAAGAAATAATCTTCCATTGAGCTGCAGGATGAATATCTGTTGCAAATGCAAGCGTTTTCTCCTTGCTTGCACTGAACTAGAGATATTTCCATCTTGAAAGTAATGTCCCAATGAACATTAGGTAACATGTCGCAAGAGTGTTACATTTGCAGTGCATTTATGTTCTTTCCTACCAAAGAGACCTGCAGGAAAGGGCACGTTGCGTAAGTGCCAATTATTAGAGCAGGTAGCTTAGAAAACAAGTCAAGTGTTAAAGTCTGACTGTGCCTAAAGCAATAAAGAGGTGTCTAGTATTAAGCTAACATCAAACCTAGTGCACAATGTTAATACCAGCAACAAAATTTGTGACCAAAATGATAATCAAAGAAGGTTGTCTAAAAAACTGCAAGATATTAACAAACAAACATGGTTTCATATATCAACATCGGTCAAAAATGCTATCGGGTTCCTCACCTAAACGCATACTATTCATATGAGAATAATAACGTGAATGTTATTAATAGTCAGAATGTCTAAAAATAGACAATAAATATCTAAAACATAAAGGTTTCACAACTCAATGACTTAAATAGACAAAATGTAACTTATTACCAAGAGAAAAAAAAAACACTGCTAGTTCAGAGCAAATGCACATTGGTATTGCAAAATTAGTAGGTTAAGGTACAGTAAGAGTAGTAATAATTACAGAAAAGAAGAAAAGGGTGTATTTTTATGGCATTGGTTCTTTGTCTAATTTCTCTCCTGGTTCTTTTCTGTGATTAGTGCAAATTGTGGAGAGCTACTGACAACCGCACAGAATTCTGACAGCATCTACAACAGCCAGCACTCTTGGGAAGAGCTCTAAGCTCTTTGCTCCCACTACTTGCTCTACAACATGTTTGTTTCAAGTGCACTAAAAATTCCCCATTGCACTGTTCAACCTAAGTTCTCCACTCCAGCCTGGGTCTGAGCACTCAAGTCTTCTACATGTCCATTTCCAATAGTCTGAGGCAGATAATAACACCATTGACATTTGCTCGCTGATATATCAGAAATCTCTTCTACCACATGCAAGAAAATCCAGCAAGGATATTTGACCTTCCTAGCTCGGGCAGTAAATGCTGCACAGACTTCTGGCCAGAAACAGCTGCAGGTAAAGAGATGCCCTTTCTTTTCTTTTCCATTTTGGGTTAATATTAGCATTTCCACAAAGAGAAGCAGCTTAATTCTGCAAAGTCAGCTATATCACTGCCACAATGACATTAGATGGGATTCAGCGGCCACAGTCACTGGAGAGTCAACGTCACAATCAGAGGCAGATCAGCAGGAGGACGTGAGGAGCCCTTGGCAATCCAGCCCTGCTCTTCAACAGGCTTTGCTGATTACTTACTGCAAGGTGCAATTATCCTCGTTGTTACCGTGGCAAAAATCAGCCTCTCCCACAAAAGCACAACACTGATGGAGAGAAAGACAAAAACATGAAACAAGGGCACAGATTGCCGCAATAATAATAAACACGAGGAGGCGTGGAATGACATTCAACTATGGCATTTCAATTAATTTATTGGCTCAGAAAGCAATGGCAGATTACACCTCATAGAGCAGGCGGCAAGCACGAGCCATTTGTTTTGACCAGTTCATGAATAATTACAGCACCTCAAATCAAGTTTTTTTTATTATTATTTATTTATGAAACCGTAATACTGTAATCACTGGAAAGTCTCTTTTTAAACCTCTACACTTTACAAAGAAGATGAACAGTATATGTAAACAGTACTTTTTGTTTGTAATCGTAATGCTCCTTTTTAAAATGTGCACATCATTAAAAACACAATTCTTGAAAGTTTAGATGGGAGAATATATGGAGTAACGTCTAATGACACATTATAAAAGAGATCAAGGAAGGGAACACCATCCCAGCCTCGTCTCTCTCAAAAGTGACTGCATACGTAAGAACAAGAAACAACATCAAAAGCCATATGTTTATGCATGTCCATAAACCAGTCGCGATAGATTTCTACAAAACAAAACAAAAACAGTGCAAAGAAATTCAACTCAGGAAGCTAAGAACAAAAATAGAAGAGATAAGAGAAAGAATGAATAAAAAAAAAAATCACATTCCCACAGTCGTCAATATTTACCTTGAACAAAACCATTTATGTGTTTAAAAATGATAAAGGATTGAGAATGTTGGAAAAATGAATACCAAACCAGAGGGGAGAGATGCAAGAATAAATAGCAGTCGTGTTTTCTGCGGTCAGGGAGTTTGATGCTCTTGTTTCACCCTCCTGACTGAGGCAGCAAAACCTGGAAATGAAATGAATAATCTCACGTTGTTCTCCATGTTGTGCAGGTCATCCCTGTTTACAGGGAGTTTCGACCGAGGCAAAATGTTTGGCATTCTTAGTGTGTCGTTCTCTGCTGGCATCGGGAGGCACTTTCTGAGACACTTCGAGTGATTCCTAGAACAGAATCGATTATGGCTGCTCACTGTTCACAAACTCAAATCAAAGTTACCTCCGGATCCATTGTCCACATCTTCTGCACAATACTTAAAGTATCCAGAAATGGACTCCATCTTCATTATACTGAGAAACCAGCTAGCATTTCCTGCACAGTATAAACAGGCCCTTCAAACCATAAAATGGAGAGCTATACAATATTTGAGCTATACATTACTTGGGTCAGTGATATAAGTAGGGCAAGATGTTTGGTCTTTGATGACTGACCTTTTTACTCTGGGAATGCCACTATGTTCAAACGAGGGACTGAGGAACTGACAACAAGAGCAAAGTGCTATAACTGGGTGTGAGATTACAGGGCAGTTGTTCAATATTATTGATCCCAGACAGTGAACCAGGCTCTTAACTAAGCCGTCCCTCTGATTCCGTGCTCGTTGCGCGATGATGGCCACAGCACCCAAGAAATGACTCGGTGTGAGTGCATTCTTTCTGAGGCTAGTTCCTGTGAGCAGCCCATTGCATTTTTCATGAGAACTCATGACTTCTGTTATACCTCTGAAAAGGCTCCTAGTTTTTTTTACCTCCTTCCTTTTTTCCCTTTTCTCAGAAAGGCACCTCCTCTCATCCCTGATATTGAATCCAATACCTTACCCGTGTGTTTGTTTTTTATAGCATTGTTTCTTGGTTGAATGGAAGGTTTCCATCACTATGGGTGTGTTTAGGCAACGTGGAAACATACTGGAATAGATTAGAGCTGAAGTCAAGTGAGACGATCACTTATTACCACTAGATGGCACTAAAGCAACACAATAGCAGACTAGGGCACCACAACTCGCACAAAAAACAAATAAAAAATACTGCAGCTCAGGCAGAACTCTACTAGAAAAAAAAATAATAATAATTTTTTTAACAAAAATTAGTCCAAATGAGGTGACATCCCCTTCTGAAATAAACACTATTCACAGATGTCCATTGTACTGCACGCATAGAGAATCAATAATTGATTACTCAAAACATAAACGGAATAAATAACTGAACTGTTCCCAAATTAAGACTTGTCCTTAAATTCCAGACTTGTAGGATCATCAGTGTTCGTACCACAGACTTGAGATGTACTTCGAGGCAGGATATTGCCAAAGTCATTATGTATGCGCAAGTCCGTTCTTTAGGACAAGGGTTTAGACTCCCTGCTATTGCTTCAACTGATGTTGAGACAAAACATCACAACACAACAAAAGTTTTGACTTCAGGCAAATCACTTCATGCCGCCAGTGTTCCTTCTTTTGAAACAAATGGTGTAATGGTACAAACACAATTTGTAGATTGGTTTCATGCGGACAGGCATCCTACAGTTTGGGAAAAAAGCACAAACTCCAAAACCACAATGACGCCGCAAAATTTTACGACTGGATGCTGAAATATGGTCGTGTAGCAGAGGAGTCTTCTACTCTGGCTCTGAGGCAGGGGGTCTTCATGGGGCAGGACTGTAGCACGGTCAAAATGACTGGAACCTAATGTCAGGTTGTCAGTCACAAGTAGGGCACAGGAGGGACAAGAGTGGAACAGCCTGGAAGCCAGAGGCCGGCATCACAGCCAGTTACTAGTTACTCCTGTGGGCACTTCTAATGATGTCCCGGGGGATCTAGAGAGGAGAAGTCATCACAGGAAAGGGCTGAAGATTTGTATTTTTGCCCTCCCCTGACTTTGAGCCATGTCAGAGTTGGTCATTATCGCCACAGTCTGTAGAGGAATGCTAATGTGAACATCAAATTATGTTGATTTGTGAATGGACAATTCTCAATCCGGTCTCACATGGGAGTAAAAGTCTCTCTCACGTCTGTCTGGTCCTCGAGAAGTCTATTGATCTTGCCTGTCTTCTGTAGATGGCTCAGTTCAGATCGATGGTGTTAAAGACCCACTCCGTGAACTTCTTGAGCTTGGCAGCGGAGCTTTGAGACTCTTCTTGCAGCCTCTGATTGTCCTCCCAAAGCCTCTTAATTTGTGCCTGCAGTTTCAATTTCTCTTCCCTCTCCTTTAGAACAAACAGGAAAAACAGAGTGAGAGAATGATAAATGAGAGGGTGAATACACTAACTTTAGATTTCGACAGAGCTTCTGTTTACAACAGAGTCACTAGGGTTGTAAAAGTCAAAGAGGTTCTCCTCACTTTCTTCAAGTCCTCCTGCAACATCTTCACCAAAGCTTCCAGCTGAGAAACCTTCCCACTGTAGCTTGAAGGCCCCTCACTAACAGAAGAACCAGAGTTAGGACAAAAAGGATGACGTACAAGAAACTACTAAGAAAGCACATTCACACACAAAATAAGAATTACGCATTGGATGGTGGATGTACCTGGGGGAGAGTCTGGTGTGCAGCACTGGCTGCAGCTCTAGATGCTGAGGACTGAGCGAAGTCTCTCCTCTCTGACTGATGTCTTGAGAACTAAACATAAACCCTCTCTGCACTGAGAGGGGAATGGAAGAAGAGTGTGATGGAGTTGAGAGAGAGATGATGATGATGATGATGTGATGACAAGCAGAGCATTAATTTAACTGTGAAGGCAGCATTAGGCAAATGATAAAGCAGCACCTCGAGCTTAACACAGACGCACATTCCAAGACATAATTTCACATCTGTCCATCAGTGCAAGTCCTCAGGGGACATTCCCATTAATATAACAGCAGTTCACTCATTATTCTAAATCCTAACATTTCAGCAAATCATGTTATGGACAAATCCTTAACCTCATAAGCCTAAATAACTGTAAAGTTTAAGACACATCAAGTTCTTGATCAGTAATGGGTGTTATGGCCACTTTTGGCTTTGTGATCGGTCATTAAACTCCCTTAAAACACTTTTCGCACTCATTCAGTTGTTTAATTTTACAGTCACGGGAGAATAAGACGCATTCTTTTTATGAACATTCTCATCACAAGCACCATTCCCTCCAAAAGTTAATTTATGGGTGGTGTTTGATAATATTTTGTGCTGGTAATGACAGCGATGGCAATTTTTACATCTTTGGAATAAAATGGTCTATGCTTTTATCTTGCTAAAGCTAATTTTATGAATCGTAAGTTACATATTGTAGCTTTTAAAGGGATAGTTTACCCCAAAATTTTAATTCTGTCATTAATTACTCATCCTCATATTGTTCTAAACGCATAAGACCTTAGTTCATCTTCAAAACACAAATTAAGATACTTTTTTATGAAATCTGCCACCATTCACCATACATCGTGGTACTTTCGTGGATGGCAGAGGAGACTGACCCGGAAGAGAAAAAATCTCTGAATAAAATTATTTTGTTTTCTATGTGCAAAAAAAGTATTCTCGTAGCTTCATAGTATTATGGTTGGACAACTGATGTCACATAGACTGTTGTCCTTTACTATCTTTCTGGGCTTTGAAAGATAGGGCTTTTGGCATGTCAGTTGCATTGCTGAAGGGTCAGAAAGCTCTCGGATTTCATCAAAAATATCTTAATTTGTGTTCCGAAGATGAAAGATGGTCTTACGGGTTTGGAACGACATGAGGGTGAGTAATTAATGACATAATTTTCATTTTTGGGTGAACTATCCCTTTAACAATCAAACCCTGGCATATAAAAGCGCTCATAGTTAAAGAAACACTTTTAATTTAACAAAAAGAACTCTCTCTTATAAAAGATGGACAGGTGGATTGTGCAAAGCTGTGATATAGCTAAACAATGAGAGATAAAGAGAAGAGAAATGGGCTCACTGCGTTGTGGTCTTCTCTCACCCTCGAAAGCATTGGCAACATCCACGAGGTGGGTCCAGTCCAGGCCACTGTCTGTGTCCGTGTCCGGGAGGGGCATGAGACCCAGTTCAGGAGGAGGTGGCCTCTGTCGCTCGTGCAGGTCTGCTAGAGAGGTGTCAGACGCTGAGAGGTCACCTAACAGCCAATGAGAAAACATGAGGTGGTGTGTGTGTGATTGTGCGCTTTAGCCCAGCTAAAGCTTGTGGCGTGTGGAACTTACACAACATAAAAGGCAAATCTAGAGGAGCACTAACAATTAATGGAACTACATTGCAATGCACTTTCATAGCTTGCGGTACAGAGTAAAAAAGTAAAAAACTTCCCAGACAATGAAACATTTAGCTGAATTTTAGTTTTGAATTTGCATTTTGTCTCATTTATTCTCAAGAGTTTGTTCTGAGATCAAACTCAATTGGTGGAGCTCCTGCAGTCATGTCTCGGACCCCCTGTTGATGACTTCAGGCTTAAAAGATTTGCTCTATGATATTTTGCATTCTCAAGGCCATCTCTATAGATTGTGCTAGACTGTAACGGCACTCTGACCCAATCATGACAGGTTTTCTCACCATGCATCTTGATGCCCATTTTGTAGGAAGGTCTGCGCAGTGGGGCGCAACGGGTGGTCGGAGATCGTGGAAGGGTAGAGCAGCTGAAGAGCACGTCGCTGGCCAGAGCCTGCTCTAGAACTGAATCTCCCAGAGATGGCAGCCGCTGACCCCGGTATATACTCTCATCTGACAGGGTGCGGTGAAGAGAACGCCGCCCTGAGCTTGCTGGACCGGAGGAGGACTGCAGGGAAGAGAAGGGATGGATATATGATTGATGTCACTGACCCTCTGCTACCATTCACACCAAGAACAAGAACTATAATGATAACTATGTTAGCATCCATGCCGATGTACAATAACATTCTGTTTATTCTAAACATGTGCTGTAGTTTTGTTGTCTGCTGCTTTAAATGCTTGAGCTCATTTATGCATGGATTCTTATTGTGTGTGTGAGACGAGAGGGACGGGGCCGAGAGCCGTGGGAACGGAGCGAGGCCGGTGGAGTAAATGGCCAAGCCTGGTGCTCTCTCGTCCAACACTGTTGTCACTCCTCCTTTTATCCTTCCGGAGATCCTCCGGTGAGTGGCGCAGGTGTCACGCATTAGCATTTACTTCACCGGCCTCGCTCCATTCCAACGGCTCTCGGCCCCGCCCCTCTCGTCACAGTGTGCTTGTCTTTCAATGTTATCGTTCATCAGCTGGAAAAAAAAAATCATTTTTAAAGTGGTTCTTCTGTGCTGTTATTAGAGCTGCACGATTCTGGATAAATTGAGAATCACAATATTTTTTGTCTCAAATAGAGATTACGATTCTCCCATGATTCTGTACTAAACAAAATCATTTGTGACAAAATATTAATTACTGCAGTCTATTTAAATGTGTTTATATATATGTATTTTTTAAAATATATTTGTATGTTTTTATATATAAATATATTTTTAATAAACCAATTTTTTATATTAACATTTTGAAAAAGTGGTTCAAATGAATAATTCAATGACTCACTCATAAATACTTCACTTGTTTCATTAATGGATGAATCAGTGTTTTTGAACAAATCTCTTGAATGAATGATTCAAACGTTATTTGAAGCGCCAGTTACTTTCAGAAGATATTTTGCTCTATATTGATCGCTACCATAGACATCAATATTTGTATCCGAACTAAAAACATTTATTCCTGTATTTCTGTGATCATATGAATGACTGTATTACAGAAATAATACATTGTAGTTGAAAAGACTGTTTGTGTTTCTTACCTAAGCATATTTGAATGTTCCAGTATGATTTTTTTCAAAGGTTTAACAGACACAGGCAAATGGTTGTCATTTAGAAATTAGATTGCGTAGGTGTTTGAATCGAGATCGCAATTTTTTTGAACGATTAATCGTGCAGCTCTAGCCGTTATCATTATAGTCGTGGCGTGGACTTGTTATTTTAAATTGAGAAGATTTTTAAAATGATATCTTTATCATTATTGTTACCTTCCTTGGTGTGAACAGGCCTTAATCTTTATTTTTGATAATTTCATTTTTCTGATAAAATGTACAATTAAAATGTGATTTTAAAAAAAGAACTTGTTTGTAGACTGCAAATTTGGCCAATATTGTAAATATCAATAAGACTACAAAATAGTAAGAATCAGAGTAAAAATAACAATAATAATCACCATCATTACTATATGATTATTTTACAGTAAAAAAAAAATGTGTATTAAAAAATGTATTTATACACGCTTGTTAAAAATTTGGTGAAACATTTGGCATGTTAGGTTTTCAGATGCACATTATAAATAATGCAAACTCAAAGCAGTCTTTTCAATTTATTAAGTTATATCATGATTTTGATTTTTTTAATCATTTAGTCCTAATACCAGGTGTGAACTTGATGTTATTGGCCAACCTTACTCAAAAATGGAGCACACTGGTGTAGTATTGTAGTTTTTTCAGTTGATGTACCTTGTCCTTGTGCTGCTTGGATGGGGGACTTTCTGGTGTGACAAGTTTCTTCAGATCTTCTTCCACTGTAGACTTGCACATGGCTTGAGGAGAGTGCAGATCCCTAAGAGAGGGCCTGGACTGAGAAGACCCGGGGTCTGATCCCTCACCCTGTGGTCTTCTAAAGAAAAAAAACAAAGATTTTGAATTAAAACATTAAATCTGTTCGTTTTAAGCCAATAATTTCCATATTTACAGGATGAATATTGCAGAGATTTCATTTCAATGTTAATTACGCTTCTTCTCCAGAAGGGGGCAGTCATGTATTGGTAAAAAAAAACAAAAGAAAAGCGCCACTGAGGAAAACAAAAGCTAAAATCTTTTTTTGACAAAAAGATCACACATTTATTGCCACTGAAAAGTTAGGTCAGAGAGAGCAAAAACAACTAGATCAAACTTAACTGTCTATAAAACAACTTGTGATAATTTGATCCAACAGGACTGTAGCTAGTCCATGATTTATGAACTTGAACTTGTGACCGTTTTTCCCTGTGTGTATCTTTTCGAACATCTCCTTCACACCTTAATAATCCAGTCACACATCTTTCAGCCATCCATCATCCCCACAGCCGAGCTCCTTCACTTACTTGCGTGTGTCCCCAAAGTCCACAGAGTTGATGGTGCTGCCTGGTTTCCTCCAGCCGATAAGGTATTTGCTAGTGGCCCCTTGGCGTGGATAGAAACTCTTAGGGCCAGGTGACACCGAGCTCTGGGAGGAGGAGGAGGAGGAGGGGGAGGTGGCTGAGGAAGACTCTTCACGTGGGGAGCTGTGGCTGGAGCTCAGGACTGCAGGGCTGACAGAGTGGCGTGTGCTGAGGAAGAGCCAGATGAGGGAAAACATGTCTAGACAATCTCAGAAAATAAACTGCACACAGTTTTTAAACTGCACAAAATATTACAAGTACAAACATTTGATACAGTATATCAAAGAACTGCATGCAAAACTCATAGGCGTTCTGAGTATTTGCTAGGTTGTTGCTAAAAAAAATCCCATAGCAAAAAGCATACCTAGAATAAGAGGCCATGTCACTCAGACTGTAGGAGCTACCATCCCGGACCAGTAGATGGGTCGGTGGGCTTCGGGTAGTAGGCGGCCCATCTGCAGGGGACACTGGGGACTCAGCTGCAGGAGGGGACCTCTCAAGCACCCTCCGGCCCCCTTCTGTGGGGCTGTGCCAAGGTGAGGGGGCTCTTTCTCTGGCACCAGCAGCTCCCACAGCCAGCAGAGAGCTAGAACTGCCATGGGTGGGGCCGTATGATGTAGCATCAATGCCGCTGTCGGCTGAAGCGCCCTGCAGGTAGCCTCCACCACCCAAACCGTTCGGCTCCAAGTCCGGCTGGTCTGCTATCCCTCCACTGCCCAGATCATACCACTTGTCATCGCTGTGACCCCCACTAGACGTGGTGCTGGAGAGCGTATTACTGCTGGAGTGGGAGTACGGACCTTCAGACTGTAAGAAAAGGCCATATATTCAGAAAGAGCTACACCAAAGCAAATTAGGTTGCCCATCACAATGCCAGAGCAGTATATAAGTCGACCAACAAAATGTGGTGCAACCAACATGCTAAAAAAAATAAAAAATAAAATAAAACTCATGATTGTGTTCTTTTAATGACAAGGCAAGGTTGTAAAATGTGTTGTGCAGCTCCTCAAAAACTATGATATTTATCAATTCATGACATTTTGATGATAAATACATTTTAAATGGAAAAATCTTATTAAAATAATGATCATCATGTAAAATCATGTTTTTAAGGAAAAACATTTCATAACAAAAGTGTTTTATTTGCTGCTTACGCTACATTACATTTCAGAGTAATTAAAACGTTTCTTGAAAATGGCATAAATATGCTTTCAAAATCAACATGAATACAAAGAATACATTTACTCATATATTACTGTTCAAAAGTTTGAGGTCAGCAAGATTTTTTTTTATGTTTTTTGCAAAAAGTCTGCATTTATTTGATCAAAAATACAGTAAAAACAGCATTTTTGTAAAATATTACAATTTTAAAATAACAAATTTTTATTTAAATGAAAAATGTTATTTATTTTTGTGATGACAGCTGAATTTTCAGCAGCCATTACTTCAGTTTTCAGTATCACATTCAGAAATCATTTTAATATGCTGATTGGTGCTCAAGAAACATTTCTTTATATTATCAGTTGATAAGTTGCACTTCTTAATCTTTTGTGGAAACATGAAAAGTCTTTTAACATGAAGTTCAATAGAACATTATTTATTTGAAATATAAATTCACAAATCTTTACATTTTATAATTTTTTACTCCTTTTTTTATCAATTTAATGTTTCCTTGCAGAACAAAAGTATAAAAAATTATTTTAAAATTAAATGTTTTCAGTATTATATAAATATATTTAAATATATATTTTTAAAAATCTTACTGATCCCAAACTTTTGAACAATAATGTATATATTATTGACCTTAGCTGCTAAGGTGCTCTGAGTGGATTTCAGTCTTAAAAGACTACTTTTAACTAACCTTCTGACTGACATATTTGCTTGGTGTTAAACTAATGTTTGTGGTATTGTATAGTGCACTTAAAGCTCCTTTAGTGAAGAGATACCACGCAGCATCATTTTTAAGAGCGGTTATATGCAGCAGTCGAGAAACTACCTGGCTGCCCTTCTTGGGTGAAAGGTGAATAACCTGTTCCTGTCTCTGGATGCGTGGGCCACCTGAGTAGGACGAGCTAGACTTAGTGACTGGAGCATCTACAGAACATAAAAGATAAGAGTGCATTAGAAAACAGGACATTAGACGGTACTTAAAAGAAAAAAACACTCTGGTGAATTCTGAAAATGAGGGCACAACAGCAGAGAGGAAACAGACACACTTGAGACTCATTTAGATGAGCAATGTCATAAACAAAACCTGAAGTACACATGCATGCGTGCACGCACACGCAATGCATACATGCACACATTATAAAACATAATTCCTTCAAAAAGAAAAAAAATTAAAATAATTTGACCAATATAGCTAACACAGTCTGGGCTGATTTCATTACAGGATATTGAGTGTAAATGAAACTATTGTGTAACTGTTGGCCGTTACATAATGGCCAGCATAACAAAAATAGATGTTATGAGCAATTAAAGCACACAGACTTCATGAGGGGGAGGGGGTCGGATGGACAGGAAGCAGAGCGTCAGAAAAGATACAGACTTGAAATGATCCTAAAACATCAGACACTTTGTGCGTCACAGTTCATCCAGGCTGATTATACAGGCTATAAGACATAATCAAGTAGACTTCATTCTGGACACACATTTGTGAAAACATTAGGGGAAAACCTCATTTCTTTGTACAAGAATGAACCACTGCACTTTGTCAGAGGGGGGCAATTCCTTTCCAGCTTTATGAAAAGGCTTTCCTTCCCCTCTTGACACCCCACTTCCTGTCTCTACCTCCCTTCAGCGATTCAAAGCGGAGTTTTGTTTGTTTTTCAGAATAATAATACCTTGCAGTATCTCAGAACTCAAACTCGGTTTGTACAAACCACAATCTTTTAAGAAAAAAAATCACTCTTTAATCAATGCAAATTCATTCCTGAATAAACAATTCTGTGCTAATATGCTTTAGAAAAATGGAGCATCGCTTCAGGAAAAGTATCTAGAAGTTACTGGGAAAAGTATAAGCTCATGTCAATGAGCAACATAAAATGTCAGAAATCTGCCAACAAATCCTAAAAGTAGCCCTTGTATGCCTCATGATTTTGTCACATGCCTTCCAGGCTTCCAGACATGGTCAACAGAACAGATCTCAAAAAAATGTTTTCACTGGCCTTCCTCCCTCTTCTCTTCCTTTTCCACCTTCTTAAATTTGTCTTCCTCTAATAAAAATGTCTGCATTATTTATTCATCAGTAGTAATTTTTATACATTCCTAAGATTATGGAAAATGTATATAGATAATTATCTATATAAAATATAAAATATTTATTTTTTATTTTGTAATATATCATTCTTTGCGGTTTCACCCAAAAATTCTGTCATTAATTACTCACCCTCATATCGTTCCAAACCCATAAGATATTCGTTCATCTTTGGAACACAAATTAAGATATTTTTGATGAATTCCGAGAGCTTTTTCTACCTGCATAGACAGCAACGCAACCGACACGTTCAATGCCCAAAAAGGTAGTAAAGACAATGGTAAAATAGTCCATGTGACATCAGTGGTTCAATCATAATTTTATAAAGCTATGAGAATACTTGTATTTTCTTTGTGCACAAAAAGTATTCTCATAGCTTCATAACATTTAAGTTTAAACCACTGATGTCACATGGACTATTTTAAGGACATCCTTATGACCTTTTTTGGCATTGAACGTGTCGGTTGCATTGCTGTCTATGCAGGTTTAAAAAGCTCTCAGATTTCTTATCTTAAAGGGGTGATTCACTGGTCTTTTTCTAGGCTTGATTGTGTTTATGGGGTGCAGTCTACCATGTTAATGCTTCGTTAAAAAAAAACAAAAAAAAAAAACATTATTTTTCACATAATTTACCTTTATTCCACACCACTCTGTCCCTTCTCTGAGAAATGGGCTGATCTTTTCCTGTTTTTATGAAGCCCCACCCTCAGAAATAGGCGATGGGCTCTGATTGGTTAGCTAGCCCAGTGTGTTGTGATTGGCTAAACCGCCTCTAGTGCACGTCTAATCTTCCTGACCCTCACCTCAGCGGCATGTGCTCCGGTTGTATTGTAAACAATTGCGTCGTTAATATCGCTTATCAGTTTGAGCCCGACTGAGAAGCAGAGGATATTATTGAAGAGGATCGTGCAGAACCTGTGCAAGCACGGCTTTTAATGGTAGGCCTATGTTTTTTGTTTGTTGTTGTCTCATACTTTTAGATATGCTGTTATTTGTAAATTCTACTGCTTATGTTAGCTTTTAATATACGGTTTTATCCTGATTAAAGCTTTAATACAGTACGGCAACTGCACGCGTGTCCATGTATAACGCTTCTCATAGCTATGTGAAAATAAGTGTATAATTGGAACAGTGAGCTGAATGAAAGAGCATGTACAGAGCAGGGGGACGCGAGGAACAGTATTGAGAACCGCTGCTTTTGAACATTGATTTTGAATCGCGGTTCATGTATGAATAGATTTTTACGTACACCTCTAGTTTTCTCTTCCTCTTCCCTAAAGCAGCGCAGCATGGCCTCGCCCCCTTTGCTGCGATTTCCCGAGGGCGGGTTTATCTGGGTTTGGGATGTCACGAACCCGGGAAGTAACTCGTTGTAGTCCCTACGAGCCATTTTTGTAGGCATTAAACTGCCAGAATTTTAAAAGAGGATATCTCCTTTTGCATTGAACTTTCAGCTTCGTAACTTTGCAGATATTGTTTATGCTCAAACAGCAACATTACACACTAACTAATGTTAAAAAAGTGAAATCGCAATGAACCACCCCTTTAATTTGTGTTCCGAAAGTCTTACGGGTTTGGAACAACATGAGGATAAGTAATTAATGACAATTTTCATTTTTGGGTGAACTATCCCTTTAAGGTTCTTGAGGTTCAAAGCCAACCCATAAGACAAAACCGACATAGGTCAGCATTTGCCAACTGACCTCTCATGCTCCGAACAGTCGACTGCAATCATGAGACGGTGTATAATTCTAGGCTGCGGTAACATTTACAGCACGTAGTTGACTGGGCCGAATGGCTCAGATGTGTTTTGCGTGGGCCGGACCCTGCTATTATCGTCCGGGTCTCCGAGAGGTCACATAGCGGAGCTAAGAGGGGTCAAAATGTGGAGGTGGGCCGCTTGACCACAACAGTCAGAGAAGCTGAAAACAGTAAGATGGTTTCAGAGAAATATACAAAAGAGGGGACATAAACAGAGACAGAAAGTGAGAGACAGACACAGTGGAGGCAACAAGACTGCCTGCAAGTCCTGCAGTCTTACAAAAAAAAAAACAGGAATATTCCTGTCAAAAACAGGAGACATGTGGAGAAGCAGAGGAATGGAGAGAGGAAGAGAAACAAGAAAAATACGCAGAAAGGGGGTGGCAGTGTGAGTCACAGCACACTTGGACCTTGAAGAGTGAGAGGAGAGGAGGGGGGGGTGCTAGAGGCACACAAAGCGCTGCTTACACAACCGTACCAGCAGGAAAGAGGAGGTATTTCTGTCTTTGCTTGAACCCATACACAGCCTGCTGTTCAGAGACACCGTTTATGTTTTCTGCCTTTCACTGGACACCGCTTACTTTCAAAGGCTATGCTTGATCTATCGAGCGCGGTAATACAAGAGACAGATATTCAGGGGGAGGGAAGGATCAGATGATCTGCTGTGTGTTAGAAGGGCGAGAAGACTGAATGGAGATGACCTGCTGTCAAAAACAAGTGTGGCCCAAAAAGAGGAAGCCGTCAAGGCCAGGTGGAAATATGGGATAACGAAACCACATAGCTTACAGCAAGGCAACAAGGACCCTCAGATGATATGTTCCAGTGCATTGGTTGTCATGCTAGCATGTTTTAAAGAGTAATGTGTTTGCCCAAGTTCTTGGGTTAAAGCAATGAGTCACTTTCACTGTTTTCTAATGAAAGCACTTGAGAAGAAAGACCAGGTTTTTACATATCTTGAAGTGAATTTGAGTGGCGCTTGCCTGCGTGGCCGCCACTATGCTAAGGTGTCGTGGGTGGCTGCTTGGACATTGCTATGCGGTTGCTAAGGTGTTCTGAGTGGTTACTTACAGGCTCAAGTCAAAAGAGTCTGCCCTCAAGTCTCTTTTATATTCTGATCCTCAGATCCTTCCAACAATGCAAGTATATGGGATTTTATCATTGACTAGGTAAAGTAAGCCTGGGCTCTTCGAAAAAGTTAACATTATGATTTGAGGAACCATGTCTGTAGCATCAGTGCTGTTATTGTTAACTAAAACTACTAAAAATCATTTTCAGAATTTTGAATGAAGCTGAAATAAAAAGACAAAAAAAAAAAAAAAAAAATATTTCATATAAACGAAAAAACTAACTAGGGCTGTCACGATTATGAAATTTGGCTGACGATTGATTGTCTAAAAATAGTCACGGTTATTGCGATTAATTGTCTGTTTTAGGGCTTTGATGATTATGCCGATTATCACGATTAATTGTCTGTTTTTATGGCTTTCATTATATAATTGATTAATTTAAGAGTTCCGTAAATAATTATGATGTTATCTTTTAATCTTTTTGAGTTATTATTTTGCAGTGTAGGATTACATAGAGTATTCCAAATTCTAAGAATTGGCCAATAACGATCCAACACCAGCACTATTTTTTTCTACACCACTACATAATATCAATACTGTGTTTGTGGAACTAATGGTCACTCTTTGTAAACGCAATCCACTAAATACTTCTTCATTACAGAGAAAAACTACATTTGAATAAAAATATATAAGCTATGAAATTAAACTAGCTGACTGTATAATTTAGCAGCAAAAACTATATCTTGAAAAAAATAAATCTTTGGTGCACATTATACAATTTAAACATGTTTATTCTGTTAACTATTTGTATTCTAACAAAATACATTCATGAATATAAGATAGAAATTATGAGAAAAAGAAAGGCTTCTAATAATCTTTCCGTTTGTGATAATTCCTTCCTTCCTTAAACTAAAGTATTACAATGGGAATATATCATCTTGGAGAGAGAGTTTTACCATGCTGACTGTCATAACTGAACGTGACGTGCTGTTTGAATGCTGAGCGGAGAATGACTGACAGCTGCAGCAGAAGGAAGATGAGTTTCTGTAAACCCAAATTCTGTCCCTCACATTAAGATATGGAATGGCTTCAGATGATATAGCAGGGCTCCAGACTGCGAAAAAAATTTCTGCCTGTACGACTAAATTTTGTGTGCGGTCGCACTGGCGCGACCACCGCGTTGGTCAACTCATAAGCGCTGCAATTTCTGTTGCAAATGAGAAACATCAAATGGCAAACGAAACTGAAAGCATAAGGAAACAGAGCTTAGAGAGTATACTCGTCGCGTCAGCACGAGCACGAAGGTGCTCGCAGCAAAAATTACGAGCATATTGAGGCAACAATGGATGGTTTTCAAGCAAAAGTCAAGTAAAAGAACGCTTCTTAAAACAGAGAATGTGAACATGCTGGTATTCTTGTGGGGGAAAAAACATGCAAGCACTGTCACCGTTAGTTTTACTTTCCTTTTTGTTTTCATTTTTGAAAACCTTGTTATCTTTGCGCTTTACCTCACATTACGCTATGGAGGCTCTCTTTTATTCATTTATTTAATTCCTCAGTGTTTGCTAAACGTTCTGTAATTTATTAGTCGGTATTTAATACAGTATGTGGTGTGTGCCATTCCTCATCTTATTTGTTTTTGTTAATAAACATTTTGTAAGCTAGTTTGTCATTGTATCTTACTGACTTATTGTTATTGTGCTTTTTAATTAAGAATAACAATGAATCCATCTTTTGTTTTAGTCTTAAAAAAATGAAAGGTATGTAGATGTATGTAAGCAAAACAGTGACAACAAGATTGCGAATTCGAAAGTGAAAGCATCTGAAGCCCGCGGCTTAACACAGCAAAAGAGAAACTCCCATTCACAAAATTCAAATCACAAATAATACTACTGATGATAAAGAATGGGTTGAATGTTAACCACTTTCGTTTCCATATAACTATAAACTATGATAAAAGTTCATCAGCATGCATTGAATAATCCCATGTTGTAGCGCATAAAAAATAAAATATTGCGACCAAATCATGTGCTCGTGCGACCAGCTGAGAAAGTTAGTTGCAAAAGAGCGACCAGTGGGAAGAATGAGTCTGGAGCCCTGTATAGGCTATACAGTGCATGAAAAGCAAACTGGTGCTCTTCTGTTTCTTTTGGTGTATGACTCCCCCCTTGTCTCCTATAAAAAGCACAATAATTAGATCAAATAATCTCGATTAGACGGTTATTTAATTATCGCGAAAGGCTTAAAACTAACAAAAGCATATAACACAATTATTTAAACTTAACTAAAACTAAAATAAAAGCTAAAAATAAGCCAATTCAAAATATTAATAAAATCTATAATAGTATACAAATACTACTAAAATAAACATAGCAAAAAAGGTGTGAGCAAGTTGATTACGGGTGCATCTCAAAAAATTAGAATGTCGTAGAAAAGTTCATTTCAGTAATTCAACTCAAATTGTGAAACTCGTGTATTAAATAAATTCAATGCACAATGGTGGCTTTTGATTCCTTGACCCCAGCCTCAGTCCATTCCTTGTGAAGTTCACTCAAATTCTTGTATCGATGTTGCTTGACAATCCTCATAAGGCTGCGGTTCTCTCGGTTGGTTGTGCATCTTTTTCTTTCACACTTTTTCCTTCCACTCAACTTTCTGTTAACATGCTTGGATACAGCACTCTGTGAACAGCCAGCTTCTTTGGCAATGAATGTTTGTGGCTTAGCCTCCTTGTGAAGGGTGACAATAATTGTCTTCTGGACAACTGTCAGATCAGCAGTCTTCCCCATGATTGTGTAGCCTAGTGAACCAAACTGAGAGACCATTTTGAAGGCTCAGGAAACCTTTGCAGGTGTTTTGAGTTGATTAGCTGATTGGCATGCCACCATATTCTAATTTGTTGAGATAGTGAATTGGTGGGTTTTTGTTAAATGTGAGACAAAATCATCACAATTAAAAGAACCAAAGACTTAAACTACTTTAGTCTGTGTGCATTGAATTTATTTAATACACGAGTTTCACAATTTGGGTTGAATTACTGAAATAAATTAACTTTTCCATGACATTCTAATTTATTGAGATGCACCTGTATATCCGTTACAGTGTTTTCCCTAGGTTTACGTTCTTGAGGTTCAAGAACGATTCCGTTTTTCTTTTTTTCTGGACTCCTTTTTAATGGTTAAATTACATTTTATTAATCAAAAAGCATGTCTAATTAATTAAAATCATGAAACAAACAATTTAACATAAATTTATTAAAAGTTTAACAAATATTACGTTTAGGGCCCTATGAAATGTTTTATTAGTCCAACCTTATGTTTTATTGTAACCAAATTCTGTTTTAGCATGTCTAATTTGAAAGCATAAAACAAGTTTCATTTATTCTTACAATAGCCTTATGATTTTTTTGCTCAAAAATTTGTGTTGTGTATTTACATTTTGTTTTAAGGCATAAAACATTAATTTAATCTATCTATTAAGTAATGAAAATTAAACAAATTACATTTTTGGGAAAATAAAGGTAATTTAATATTACAATTAAAACATTGAAGAAATATTGAATGCTTATTCCTTAAAAATAAGGTTTTAATAATTTTAGTAGTAGTAGTAGCAGTCGGTTATGTACATTCTACTCAACAATAGTAATATATTTCTGCCAATGCCCTCAAGTTAAATCAAACTTTTATTTTGACAGGTTGCCGTGAATACCTTTACATTTCTGTGTGTGTATGACATGATGATAGTTTTACTGAAGTGAAACGGTCAAATGCTCATGAAGTGACTCTCAGAGCAGCTTTGGAGATGTTGTTCATGTATTTATGTCCTCATTAGTGAGACGGCAGAGGTTAATATCACCGGAAGCATCACGCGCGCTTCAGTACGAGTACTACACAAAACCGCGAGTATTTAAATATGAATCGTTTTGCGGCTTAATATTTACAAATACTAGTGGGAGTGGGCTCACTTGTGTGTGTGTGTGTGCGCGTGAGCACGCACATCGGGCGGAACTCCGCTGTGCGTGATACAGAGAGCGCGACCATAACGTAGAGACTGAAATGACATGCCGTCCTGTAAATAAGATAAATAACATATAAGGCTATTTAGTTTGCTTAATGAAAGATCAAGGTATAGACATGTTCTATAAGAAAGGTAACTTAAAATGACTTCTGTTGTGATCTGGCGCTTTAGAGAAAATATAATTAAATAAAATGAACTTGACCTTCAAGGGGGACGAGGGGTGCCGTTGGGGGGGTGGGCCGCCCCCCTAAAATATTGGCAGGGGAAACACTGCATTATATAAATACCAACTAAACTGCCTGTTGTGTTAATTTTTTTTATATATTTTTTTTCTAAAGGTACAAACTCAGAATGTTTCCTGTATAATTCACATCATTAGCTGAGAGAAAATTGATTTCATATGTAAGCAAAATGGACATTATAACTGAAATATGGCCATAGCTGAAAAATGAATCAGAATCGAATAAGCTCAAATCAAAAGCTTATGAATCAGAATTGAATCCAGTCTGCAGATCTGCATTGAAGAAAGGTCATATTTTCATTATAAAAGCATCTGATTTAAGAAATGCTTTAAATCAGCGTAGAGGATGTGGTGTTACTGTTAAATAAAGCAGAATTTTGATTTTGTTTTCTGAGAGTTTATGAATGGCATCATGCTTTGATGAGTCTAGAAGCAAAGTCTATAATCGCACGTCATTCAAATATCCAGCACTGAAGGCCTCAGAACCCAGTAATACATCAGCAGTACTCTTTCTGTCATCATGTGTTTTTGAATATTCACTGCCAGTCCATTCTCCCTTTCAGTCTTTCATTCAGTTAACTGTTTTGTTTAGCTCATTCATTTTTTCCAGCAGCCTTCTTTATTGATCTTTTCCCCTCTCATTTCCAGACACCTTACATTTATCCCCCTTCCTTTTAATAATTCATCACTGATAGAGTGTGGTCTGACCTGATGGCGGTCTGTCAGAGCTATCCTCCACTCTGGGCCAGCTGGGTGTCGACTTGCCGCTGCTTCCATCCTCTGCCCCCATTTGCCGCTCTGCTGGGAGAGGAGAGTGCCTGTTGTGCGCAAATCTATAACGGAAACATAAACACGCATATGTTGTCAATCGCTTGCATCATTTTGCGGTCGATGCTACAGCCATCTTGTCATAAATAATGCTGTGTAAAAGCTTGAACAGATAAAGCGGTGAGATGACTGGGTGATTAAGGGATGGACGGTTAAGAGCTTAAAAGAAACCAAAGACAGAGGAGGTAGACAGTAAGAGGAGGTGTTTTGTAGAGCCTCACCCCTCCGGCATGGACTTCTGCCTCCAGTGAGCGGAGCTGCCTGAGCCCGTGTCACTGGAGCAGGAGAGGTTACTGGGGGAACTGCGGTTGTGCGGTGAGCGGCCCAACATGAGAGAGGAGGTCAGGGCATAGTTCTCAGAACCTGGAGACATCCTGAGAGAGGTAGAGAAAGAGCGATACACACAAATACAGATAAACACGAGAGACAGGAAGAACAAGCAAAAAAATGAAGGGGAAGTGCAACTTAACGAAAGCTCCACTACATACAGGCAGCCATCGAACGCACCTTTTAGAGTCCAGAGGTCGGCCGTCACTGGACACGCTGCGGGGGATGGCGGTAGCTCTTTCGGGCCGCTCAGCAGAGAGGGTCTTGCCCATGCTGGCCCCCAGGCTGACAGCACGGTTCGGGGTTCCACTGTGACTCTGAGGTGAGGCAGTGAGGGACTGCTGTGGGCTGGACGAGGTGCGCTGCCATTTGTTGTTATTGCTCCGGAAAGGAAACTTGTACTCAAATGAGCCACTCTCATTGCTGCCCTTGTATTCAACGACTGGCATGCGGTGCAGTTCTGAAAAGCCCCTGCAAGATGAATTAGGCAGTTTATGGCAAATGAAGGGCATTTGACATACTCTTAAAGGTGAAATCAGCTATTTATCTATTTAGGTTTGCATGTGTGGGTGCAAAGGTGCAATGTTTTGTATTGTTGTCCTATTACAAAACTTGGAACGAGTGGTTTACTTTTCTACATGACAAAAATAAATTACTGCCTACTTATTTACCTGGATTCCCTCAAGAAATAACAAAATCAAAACATTAACTGATACTTAGACCTACCTGCGAGGTGTGGCATCCTCGTGGGGCGGTATGATGACAACTTTCACAGTTACGGAGGTGCGGAGCAGGTCTATCATTTGCTCGTGTGAAAGTGTTGCCACAGCCACCTTGCAAATTTCAACCAACCGGCTGCCTTGTCTCAGCCCCGCTTGCCAGGCATAGCCATACGGCTCCACCTCTGCCACGATGCCTTCGTAGTTAACGTGAAAACCAAGTTGGCCCAGGCCATTCCTGCGCAAGGTTATCTCAGAGGTCTCACAGCCTTTAGTGAGGTGCTGAGAGAAAAGAGCGAAATAAAAGATTGATATGACTTGTCTGGCATTTTTTCTGGATTCTAAAGCAATTTTATGCAATTTAGAAACAGATTTACTTCATTGGGGATAGAAGAGCTTGTCAAAAATGGGCAAAGTGGATTGGAAATGTCTATCACAAGTTATTATACCTTACTGCAAATTAGGATCAAGGCTTTTCTTCCCTCAGAATGTATAAAGAAAGCTCTGCTAACATGTTTCATGACTGATGGAGATCATGAGCATTCAATTGGCGAGTACTAGTTACCATGGCAACAGCTCCTGCACTTGAAGAGTGACATAATGGGCAGGGGGCCAAATCAGGAGTACATTCAAGCCACTGCACAGTTATGCAAAGGCTCTCATATTCACCATAAATTCACACAATGAATCATACACAACACAGCCATAAAAAAAAAACTACTTTGAGCTTGTGCGAAAGCTTGATTGTTATAATCCCACTTGGGTATAAACCGAAAATAATTAAGAACCAATAAACAAGATCTCAGGTCTGTGTGCTGTATATGTGACAACGAAAACTTTTAGGGGAAAAATTCTTAATTTAAAAAATAAAATAATCGATCATGATTAGGGGTGGGCGATATAGCGAGACATTTCTTTGTCAACCAGTAGAGATTTTCGACTATCATCTGTATTGCGGTTACATGTTCACATGACGTTGCTGTGCTACATGATGACAAAAAGCGAGGGGGTATTGAACTTATTTTTGCTACTTTATAGGCCTTGAACTGTTAAATAAACACATTTGTATGTCAAAATGGCCATCTTTGCATGTATCCTCGTAAACACAGTAATTTAGGTCCTAAGTGAACGCAAACAGCTGAGAAAGAAAACACATGTGTAACAGTATATTGATCCGGGCAGCTCTTAAAGTGACAGCAGTCTAATATTCCTGCTGTCTGTCATTCACGTTAATCAAACATCAAGAGAGAGAAAATCTCACACGGCTCTTGACTAAATCAATTTTGTAATGTTAAGAATAAATATATATTTACACAGTGAAGAATATGCAGTGTTTTATACATTTGATTACTTCATACAATGTATGTAGCATTTCTTATTTATTTGTTCTGCTGTAGTTTTTTTTGCCCTATTGTTTGTAATTAGTTTGTTATTCTTATATAATCACTGACCTTTTACTTGTCTTTAATTTGCTTTTTTTAGACAAAAAAAATTTGTATTAGTTTTTTGTGATATTGACACTGGTGACAAAAATTATAAAATTTCTATGGTATCAAAAATTTTGATATCATAAAGTCCTTATTTAAAGCAATAACTATATTGTGATTTATATCATTACTGTGAAATAAAATTACTCGTATCGTGAATCATATCACAAGATTTTGGTCATATAGCCCACAGGGCTGGACAATCATTCAATATCAATATGTATCGCAATATCATTTTTTTTCAATAACGGTGATATGATTTTTAAACACATTTCCGATATTTCGATATACATTAGCAGTGTTTCCCATACATTGATTTATTTGTGGCGTTTGACTTCGTTGAATAAACATGAGCACTGCACGTTTCAAAATCATAACACGTCGCGGGTGTTTTATATGAATGTATCTCTGAAGGGAACCGACTGTCTTCAGAATAGTTTAGATGGCATTTATCTGATAAAGTACCGTTCACGAGCAGAGCTTCTTTGTTTACAGCCATTACTGGAGAAATCGTTAGTTCCACCGCTCTCACAGCGCCTCCTGCTGGCAGACAAGCAGTTTGCACTTTCAATAATAAACCCATTACCAACAACATGCTTTTGTTGTTGCTCTATTTTTTTGTTTTCTGAAGCAACTCGGAGCATGTTTCATACTCGTTATCCTGGTTAATGCACATTTCAATCTATAAGAATAATCAGCCTACACTACCAGTCAAAGGTTTTTGAACTGCAAGATTTTTAATGTTTCTTAAATAATTATCTTCTGATCACAAAGCCTGCATTTATTTGATCCAAAATGCACCAAAAGCAGTAACATTTTGAAATATTTTTACTATTTAAAATAACTGCTTTCTATTTGAATATATTTTAAAATGTAATTTATTCTTGTGATCAAAGCTACATTTTCAGAATCATTAGGCCTACTCCAGTCTTCAGTGTCACATGATCCTTCAGCAATCATCTCGGACAGCACAGTTGAAGACAACAGCCTTAGCTTCTGGGTCCACCAGTGCTAGAAAGTCATTTGAAATAGCCAGCAGAAATAGGCAGCAGGGCCTCCAGTTCTCCTCCGGCTCCATGGTCCTCGGCGTAAACAGGCCAGGTGATGGACCCTGGGCTACGCAGCTCTGCGCCAGAATAGGGCCGAGTCTTCTCTTTACGCTTGTGGGCCAAAGAAATAAAAGGAAATTTGCCCGAGGGATCGATAGGTGTGCTTGTTACATGCCGTTCAGCCAGATCCCTCAAGTACTCCTGTCGCGTCCGAGTGGCCATGGCGCGGAACTTGTCTGACTTGTGGGCTGCATTTTCAGCATTGATGACCTTGGCTAGCAGGAAATCTCGAAAGACGGTGGATTTTGGGAACGTTGCATCCTCGGGAATAGGCGGTCCTATTCTATTTTAATATGCTGATTTGCTGATTATCAATATTTAAAACAGTTGAGTAAATTTGTTCAAGATTATTTGATGAATAAAAAGATCCAAAGATCAGCATTTATCTGAAATAAAAAGCTTTTGTAACATTATACACTATACCATTCAAAAGCTCTTTTTAAAATGTATATTATAGAAATTATTACTTTCATTTAGCAAGGATGTTTTAAATTGATCAAAAGTGATGATAAAGACATTTATAATGTTACAAAAGATTTCTATTTCAGATAAATGCTGTTCTTCTGAACTTTCTATTCATCAAAGAAACCTGAAAAAAATCTACTCCACTGTTTTCAGCATCATAATAATAAATGTTTTTTGAGCAGCAAATCAGAATATTAGAATGATGTGCCTGGAGTAATGATGCTAAAGCTCTGCTTTGAAATCACAGGAATAAAGCCGTTTTTATGAGGCTTTTTTAATAGTATTCATATCGATATCGGAAATATATTGTATCGACCGAAATTAAGAAATATATTGTGATATAAATTTTGGCCATATCATCCAGCCCTATAGCCCACCCCTAGTCATGATACTGTCAAGCAACTTCAAACTTACCTCTAAACGTTTGATAACCTCACGGAAGTCTTCTGTGTTGTTATTAATGGAGCGCAGAGAGATGTTTTCTCCACGTTCATAGTAGATCTTCATGGAAGCAGGGCTCCCCAGCGTCCAACTAATGACATCTCGGACAGCACAGTTGAAGACAACAGCCTTAGCTTCTGGGTCCACCAGTACTAGAAAGTCATTTGAAATAGCCAGCAGGGCCTCCAGTTCTCCTCCGGCTCCATGGTCCTCAGCGTAAACAGGCCAGGTGATGGACCCTGGGCTACGCAGCTCTGCGCCAGAATAGGGCCGGGTCTTCTCTTTACGCTTGTGGGCCAAAGAAATAAAAGGAAATTTGCCCGAGGGATCGATAGGTGTGCTTGTTACATGCCGTTCAGCCAGATCCCTCAAGTACTCCTGTCGCGTCCGAGTGGCCATGGCGCGGAACTTGTCTGACTTGTGGGCTGCATTTTCAGCATTGATGACCTTGGCTAGCAGGAAATCTCGAAAGACGGTGGATTTTGGGAACGTTGCATCCTCGGGAATAGGCGGTCCAAAGGCAGGTACATCTCGTGAGCGAGCCACTGCCACGCTGTGAATGAGGGGGTGGAGATAATGGAGGGGAAACAAGAGAGAAGATTTCAAACAATGAGACAAATTGCTCATCACATGCTCAAGATAATTGCTAAACCATCCTCAAACTTCCCTAAAGGCCCTCATGTTTATGCATGAACGAAAGACAATGTGGCTGCTATGAAAATTATGAAACCAAGAGTCAAAGTGTGAAGTGGGGACATCAAATACTTTGCCAAATGGGAATAGGAGGAAATTATCAAAATAACATGGATGTCTATTATACTGTTGACTACTTCACACAGGGCTAGGAAACTCAGACAGACTCCTTATATTCTACAGAAGAACCTTTTGAATTAAATTCCATCTCCGAAAACCTTCACATTTTTCTTTTCTACCTCACTTGCTTCATCTCTCCCCTGCTTTTTCCTTTCATTAAGCCTCTGGAATGGACATCTAAAGCTTCCTGCTCTGTCTGGTATGCCTGGAACTCATACACAACTAGCCAGGCATAGCAGTAATGAGGCTGGACCGAAGAGAGCCACTACCTCGATCTTACAGTGATACTGAAGGAGGAAGACAAAGAACAGTGAGGCCCAGAATTTGGTGGTAGAGAGAGGGGGGGGCAAAGAAAGTACTGCTATCTGTGCGTGGGTTTCATCTGTAAAAACAATGAGGGGAAACATGTACGTGTGTGGTAGAAAAATTAGCTTGCAAATTCATCATAACATAAACTTCTCTCCCGCAGTCCCAACAGCTTGCCGAAGTATGGACTGAGACGAATAACTTGTTGATATCTAACTCAGTAATATTGTTTCTCTTTCTTTGCCTGCAGGCATAAATATATAAATAAATAAATAACACAGACTTGGTGAAGACTCAGACTGGTAACCAGAAGGTTGCTGGCCTGATTCCCACAAGAAGTGATCCATACAATAATGTACATCATGGTAATTAATGATGATATATGATAATGATCATGGTATTTTCCTTGATAATCTCGGGTACTTTGAAACAATATTAGAGCCCGACCGATATGGATTGTTTTGGGGACGATACCGATACCGATATTAGGGAGTAAAAAAAAAGGCTGATACCGATATATCGGCCGATATTCTTTGGGCATATTATAGTACAGTACCAGTCAAAAGTTTTGACACTTTCCCATTTGTGTGTCCAAAAATTTGACTGGTACTATATATAGAATAGAGTAAATAAGTCAATTTTTTATCAGTTTTTATTTATTTATTTAAAATGAGACAAATCTGCTATTATTTTAATCTCCAATCGGTTATTTATCAGTTCAGATAGTTTAATGCTTTGATTACTAGCAGAAGACACTAACCAGTTTTAAATTCCAGTTGCACAGATGGGGCACGTTGTAACACTGCGTTACAATGTGCTATTCTATGACATTAGCGATGTAATTTACACTATTTACTTTAATTAATTTTAATGAGAAACATTGAGAAACAGGTGAATAAAGACTGACAGGCAATGTTTATATATTATTATTATTATATGTAAAGCATTTTCGCTCGTTTATGTGGGCCGTCCCAAGCATGGTTTTTTGTGATATTGACACTGGTGACAAAAATTATAAAATTTCTATGGTATCAAAAATGTTGATATCATAAAGTCCTTATTTAAAGCAATAACTATAAGTCCTTATTTAAAGCAATGTGTTCATTGTCAAACTCTAAAATCAGATTATTTTTAATTCTTAAAAAGCGCCATTATTTTATTTGAAAAAGATTATTTTTTTTATATATATATACATCTCAATAAATTAGAATGTCATGGAAAAGTTCATTTCAGTAATTCAACTCAAATTGTGAAACTCGTGTATTAAATAAATTCAATGCACACAGACTGAAGTAGTTTAAGTCTTTGGTTCTTTTAATTGTGATGATTTTGTCTCACATTTAACAAAAACCCACCAATTCACTATCTCAACAAATTAGAATATGGTGACATGCCAATCAGCTAATCAACTCAAAATACCTGCAAAGGTTTCCTGAGCCTTCAAAATGGTCTCTCAGTTTGGTTCACTAGGCTACACAATCATGGGGAAGACTGCTGATCTGACAGTTGTCCAGAAGACAATCATTGACACCCTTCACAAGGTGGGGTAAGCCACAAACATTCATTGCCAAAGAAGCTGGCTGTTCACAGAGTGCTGTATCCAAGCATGTTAACAGAAAGTAGAGTGGAAGGAAAAAGTGTGGAAGAAAAAGATGCACAACCAACCGAGAGAACCGCACGCAGCCTTATGAGGATTGTCAAGCAAAATCGATTCAAGAATTTGAGTGAACTTCACAAGGAATGGACTGAGGCTGGCATCAAGAGCCACCACACACAGACGTGTCAAGGAATTTGGCTACAGTTGTCGTATTCCTCTTGTTAAGCCACTCCTGAACCACAGACAACAGAGGCGTCTTACCTGGACTAAGGAGAAGAAGAACTGGACTGTCGCCCAGTGGTTCAAAGTCCTCTTTTCAGATGAGAGCAAGTGTTGTATTTCATTTGGAAACCAAGGTCCTAGAGTCTAGAGGAAGGGTGGAGAAGCTCATAGCCCAAGTTGCTTGAAGTCCAGTGTTAAGTTTCCACAGTCTGTGATGATTTGGGGTGCAATGTCATCTGCTGGTGTTCGTCCATTGTGTTTTTTGAAAACCAACGTCACTGCACCCGTTTACCAAGAAATTTTGGAGCACTTCATGCTTCCTTCTGCTGACCAGCTTTTTGAAGATGCTGATTTAATTTTCCAGCAGGATTTGGCACCTGCCCACACTGCCAAAAGCAAAAGTTGGTTAAAAGACCATGTTGTTGGTGTGCTTGACTGGCCAGCAAACTCACCAGACCTGAACCCCACA